TTCATTAGAAACTTCTGGGTTTTTTTTTTTTTTTTTTTTTTTTCTTTCTTTTTGTCTCAGAACTACTAATATTGTAGCCTGGAGTTTTTCGGGCTATTTTAAACACTGCAAAATTTGCTGTTGCTTTTGTGGCAGTCTCTCTGTTTTGCTGTTTCAAGAAGATACGCTCTGCAGAGCATACCTGCAAAGAGCAGAGGTGTTTGCTGCAGGGTGAAGCTAACTATCTTGTAGGATACATGCATAGGAATATCTACTATATAAGCAAAGAATTGCTTTACCAAGTGTGGCATCGTATGTTACAGAAAACCCCATGATGTATTTAACTAAGCCAGAGAATATCCAGGTCTTCTGAGATCTAATGGAGAGGGAGGAAAGCAGAAAGTTTCAAAATGCACTCTAATAAAAACAATTCCTCTATAATATACATAAGCTGTAGGAACATGTTCTGCACTTATTGCCTTCCTAAACTCTGGAGGTTTTTTTTTTTTTGCTCTTACATCAAATTAAATTAGTCACCTAGTTGGTTTGCAAAGAAGAAAAGGGTATGAGTATAAAGCTGATGGAAGGACGAAAAAAAGTGGAAACTGCAACACAGAAATTGGCTCTTGAAGTAATAATATGTTCTCTTAAGCCTCATAAATATCTGGAAGGTATCAGTCTTCATTTCATTTTAAATTTCTCTTGCAGATTTGAAACTGCTTTGATACTCAGATAGCTAGGATATTAAATAATGGATGAAAAGAAAGTGCCAATGTTTGGTCTTATTCTGATATTCCTTTAAAAATGACGTCTCAATTTATTTGATCTTGAATATGTGAAGGGTTTTTTATGTCCTTTTTTCTTATTATTGTTCTTTGGTGTAGATAGAAGTACATGTTTCTATCTGCATATGATATTCAACAGTTATTTCCAACTCTTTATGGTATGCTGACAGAAGCATTTAAATATTTGCAATTGTATCTATTCTTCTGATACTGTTTTTAAAAATGTGGAACTAACTTGTGCTTTTTTACTAAAGTAGTCTATTTAACATTGGTTATTGAGGCACTCTGAACACAGTTGTGCTTGCATGACAGAAACATAATAGAAACAAAACTGTATTGCAAACCTACTATGCTTACTGCGTGAGCTTGACGTAAATTTGAGTAGCGCCTTTGTTCAAAAGACCTGCTTCAGGATTGAAAACTATTCTATGAGGAAAAGTCTAAGGTGGAGGTCACATGTAGCATGCTTACAAATTTCCATCCTCCAGTTGAATTGAAATGAAAAAGGGTTTTAATGGTATCTTGAAGTAGATTCTTTGTGTGCATGTATGTGTGTGTATATAGACACTCATAAAATTTGATGTATGAAGATGTGTTTTGTTTCGTGTTTTTTCTTAAACAGAGTCCTGTGGATACCGAAGCTCAAAATGGGATATTGATCTCTGCATGATGCTTGGACACCTTTCACTACCAACAGGATTTTCAAAGGAAATTCAGCATGGCCTAGTGGGTTGACCTTTGGAAACTTTATAATGTCCTCTGGAACTAGTATCAGAAAAAATCAGCAGGGTCTGAGCCTGCAGGGGGTTGACCCGGAAACCTGCATGATAGTGTTTACAACACACTGGGCACAGGTAATGCTACTGAGTTTTATTGATTTGAAGTAGGTTGTATTAATGAGAGTTTGCTTTATTCTTACTTCTGGGGTTACCCTGAGTTTCTGAGGAACGCACATCTTTCGCGCAGAACATGATGTTGAACTGACTGCTGCAGAAAGGGGCAGTAGTGTTTCTGAGATAATTCCAGTGTTAATGAGGTGCTGTTCAAGAGCCATCTTTTGCCACTTAACTGCAGTTAAGCACTCATGTTGGGGCAGGAGCTGTTGTTCCATTGTGGTTTTGTGGCAGTTATCCTCCACAAAAGGACTAAATGCAGTGGCTTTTTCACTGACAATGAGCTTCATTGATTGCATGCAGAACAGAATTTAATGCAGGGGTTTGAATGCTGGAATAATTATTACTCAGTCTTGAAATGTATATTGAATGTTGCAAGAGTTTTGGGGCAGTGGTGACCATTAGATATCACTGAAGATGTGGCAAAGAGAGAATAGCTATGTGGACTTCTTTACTGCTGTGAACCACCTTGCTGCGTTGATGTCCTTGAGCTCAGTTACTCAGCATGAAGGGCCCTGTGATTTTTAGTCCTCTCTGACAGAGAAGCTTATTGCAAACATTAAAACACAATTTCTGAAGTCTTAACCTAGTTTTTTAATGCTTAAGAGAAGTCCAAGTTCTCAGCAGTGAGACAAGTGGCAAATTCAGGTCCTTATAAAAATGGGGAAAGAAAACAACTAAATTTCTGTCTAGGATATCCAAAACATTTATGTGTAGAAGGTTTGACTGACAGAAACTGCAAGTGTAAATACAACGTATATCATTTTGTTTTAAGTTCTGTGTTACGAATTTTGAGGTCTTTTTTCCCCTTACGTTTATACGTAAGTGAATATTTTTAAATGTATGCTCAAATGATTGATCTGCTTTTGTTTATTTTTAGGTTCTAAAAATCTTAGAGAAACATGATCCTTTGAAAAATACCCAGGCCAAGTATGGTGCAGTTTCACCTGATGAAGCCAGCACTGTTCAGAATTATGTGGAGCACATGCTTTTCTTACTCATTGAGGAGCAAGCAAAGGATGCTTCCATGGGACCCATTCTAGAGTTTGTGGTCTCAGAAAACATAATGGAGAAGCTTTTTCTTTGGAGCCTGCGGCGAGAGTTCACTGATGAGACAAAAATTGAGCAACTCAAAATGTATGAAATGCTGGTAACCCAGTCTCATCAGCCTTTGCTACATCACAAGCCCATCTTGAAGCCTTTGATGATGTTGCTGAGTTCCTGCTCAGGAACAGCTACTCCAACAGTGGAAACAGAGCTAGTTGTCCTCCTGAATCAGCTCTGTTCTATAATAGCCAAAGATCCTTCCATTCTAGAATTGTTTTTCCACACCAGTGAGGACCAAGGAGCTGCCAATTTCCTCATATTTTCCCTTCTGATTCCCTTCATTCATCGAGAAGGAAGAGTAGGCCAACAGGCTCGTGATGCACTGCTCTTCATTATGTCCCTGTCAGCAGAAAACAACGTTGTTGCAAACCACATAGCAGAAAACACCTATTTTTGCCCAGTAAGTTGTTCTTGCTTGATCTTCAGTGTTAAACTAATCATCTTTATTCTTCTTGTCCTGTTGTGTCTTTTCTGATAAAGATGTGTTGTAACGTATTACTTCTTCTATTTCTGCTAACAACTGTTTCACAAACATAGTGCTGTTTAAGCCAGGCCTGACTCCAGATGCAGTCCTGCTGCATGTTTCCATACCAATGCAGTTCCTTTCCTTTGGGTCCATGCAAATAGGCCCATTTATTTATTTATTTATTTATTTGCAGTCTAACGGTGAGTATCATTGGAAAACTAATAGGAGTAGAGCAGAACTCTTCAGAGAAGGAATCTGATCTAGCTCACCCTAAGAACCCTGTAAAATTTTTGGGAGTGAAGGGAGTAGAAGTGAACCCTGTTTTCTCAGGTTACTGATTCTGGTGGCGGAACTTGTTTACACCAGTTCTGTATACCATACTGTAACACCAGTTGAACAGTCCTGTAAATGGGAGACTTGCTCTTTGTCAAGGATCACGAGGTTCCAATGGCTGTCTTGGCCATAACACCATCATGCTATGTAGTCTATTACAAAACTTGGTAGTAATGTTGCGTTATTAGATCTGGCAAATCAGTTGTACTTCGTGAACAGAATATCTTAGTGATCAAACAAATAAATTTTCTGACAGCTTTGTACTATTGCACCTGCTTCTTCATGCTTGCTCACAAAAAGTGCTTTGAGATCTGCAACGGGTGGATTCAAAGCCAAGTATCATTCTGCAGAGAAGATGTTCTTCTGCATTAGGTTTTGGCCTGCCCTTCCACCTCAACATTTGTGCAGCGGTTATTCCAGCCACAGGTCCCTATTTACTCTCGCATTACTATCTTCCTTGAGAGCTGTGCAGGCTTACAATCTGCAGGAAGCCTGTAAGTTCCAAAATGAAACTTGTAAATGGCTTCCTCTGTCAGTTGTAAATATTGCATCAGGCGTCTTGTGCTGAGAGACTCCATTTGACCCTATTTAATGGATACTGCTAAAAATATGAACTTGGTAGTTAGATTGTCCCTGAGACAATCCTGAGATACAATTATTGGATCCACGCTATAACTTTCATAATTACATCTTCCAATTAATTAAAAAAGAAAAATCCTTTTTACACTGAAGATAAAAGCCAGCTATATTAACCTTCAAACAGCAGGGAGCCATGATTGACAATCATTCTAATTAAGATGGCCTCTTGTCAAAATGTGCTAAAATCGGACTTGTCTGAACTGTAATGAGGCTGGCCTAAGTCTGTAATAAAATTTCAATGCATTGCTATAGAATTAGCTTGCTGGCACAAAATCTTTTTTGTGTTTGAGTGTGATGGGCTCAAGTACTGGTTTGTTCTGGTGAACAGCAGTGAAGTTGCTGTATATCGCTGGAATCATAGTAGGTGAGCCCACATCTGCACTACAAAACAGGTAGCACGGTCCTTTGCTGTAACGGATTGCATTTGAGTATCGCTGTAGTGAGGATGTCTCAGATTCCTTGGCTAATTGGTTGCTAATACACTGATTTTTCTATACTGCCCCTTACTGTGTAGTGTAAACATGCCTCAGAGGTGAAGTGAGGTGAGGACACTTCACTAAAAAATGTTTTTAACATGGAATGGGCAGACAAACTGTCAGGTTAAGTTCTCACAGGTTTTTTCTGTATCTTTGGTCAAATCGTTTCATGATGTTTTGACCTACAGGTTTCCGAAGTCTGTGATATAAGGTGTTATGTGTTTGTTATTATGATAGGAAAAGAGCGTTTACGTAGAATTTTGAGCAGGATAGCATCTCACAGCTTCTCCATAACACTTTTTCTTTGTAAATACACCACAACTTGGAAAAGTAGATATTAAAGCAGAAAGAAGCGTGGCTGCAATGAACTTGAGAAGTTCAGGCTATACAGATATAGAACTACAGGTGTAGGAGGAAAAAGAAATATTAAAGGTAAGAAATTGATATAAATGTGTAAATAAGATGGCTGGGTAGCAATTGATGACATAATAACAACACAGCATTTTGTTTATGTAATGTGTCTGAGACAAATCACAGTCAGTCATACAATGTCTTCTATGAACCAAGACAAAGATCCTAGTTGAGGAGATTGTTCGTAAAGCAGAAAGACTCGTGACCCAGTGGTGAAAAAGGAGCTACTGGAAAGGCTTGTAAAAGTAGGACTGTAGGACTGCTGTGACAATTCTAAAATAAAATATCTAAAATCTAGAAATTGGAAAGAATGCTGTCTAAAGTAAAAAAAAAAAAAAAAAAACAACAAAACCCATCCTTACACTCCTGGGATGTGAACTCATTCATTTCTTTCCCTTTATAATGATTTTCATTGATGATTGTCATCTTCTGTTAAAACTCCATGTAGCCTGTATTTGTGTATTACTTAGTATGCCTTCTTATAAAACATGAAGAGTTCTGCTAATAATTTCAAACAGTAGTTGTAATTATACCATATTTTTCTAGGAAAATTTTCAAATGCTTTTTCTCTAAATAGAGGAAGCCATGTTCCTCAGTGCTTTAGAAATGTAATTTCACATAGAGCCATTTGCTACTTCATAACGAAAGTCATCTGTCGCTTGTTACTTCAGTAGGTCAGACAAACTAAAGAATTTCTCACCTGAAGACGTGGAGTGATTTTGAGCTTGCTGCTTTAGTTGCAAGTAGTGTAGTTTGTCCAAAGTCAGTATCGTGCTTCAGAACTAAACTTCCATGTCAAGGAGAAACGCATCGGGAATGCTGTTCTGAAAATCAGGTTGCTTTCTGTGAGTGTGTGTTTATGAATAGCAATTGAGTTCTAAGCAGACAATGGAAAACCAAGTTTGCATTAATTAACTAATAGCAATACAAACGAAACTCAAATTCTCCTTTCAGAATTTCTTCCTTCCTAGAATTTTCTGAAGTCTGGGTTTGTGAGTACAAGTGTGGAGGGCAGTACATATATTTTAATAGGTCTGCTGAGATCGTCGTGTCTTCCAGCTTTGAGTTCTTCTACCAACGCTGTAGAAAAAAGCTTTTTGATTCAGAAGAATGTGATTAAACAAGTAAAGCTTGTGCTCAGTGGCTTTAGATTTTTGGTTTCTTAGTATATTTCCTGCAACCTTTTATTGTATTTTTTAATATATATATATGTAAACACAAACACATATATGTAAAACACTTATGTTGTATTTATCTGTTTGTGAAAAAGTAGTTTTTTTCATGATATTTGCTTAATTATGCCAGAAGAAATCCTTCAATTTACGTGACTTTAGGAATAGATAAGGTTTAGAAGGACTGCTTTTGTCCAACTAAGTGAGTTAGCATATGTAATTGGTTACACTTGCATGTTATCAGGACCTAAATCCCCTTGGTTGTTGAGCTGTACTTTGTCAACGGTTTGCTTTCTAATAGATGAAACATTTGTGTTTCCTGTGGGCTTTAACTTTATATTCATGCAGACATCAAGTAGCTGTTTCTCAAAAGAGGAAAAATTCCTGCAAGAGTCTACTGAATGACAGCTAAGAAGATTTCCATCAGGTTGTGTCTTTATGTCCTTAAAATTAGGATCATCTTAAATGTGTCCTGAAGTTGTAGAAAATTATGTCACAAGGGTAAAAATTGTAAATAATATTTTAAAAATTTCCAGCTTCAAGTAATAATAATAATTGAAAGCTTGTTCTGAAACTGCCAATACTCAAAATACATTCAGTACCGTGTAAAAAGCTTGTTGGAAATTTGCTTTTTGAATTGTAACTAAAACTTACAACTGATGTGCATGTACCAGCTATAAGCCTTAATAGCACTGGAAACTATGTCTGTATAGTTACTTATTTCAAGTTTTTATTTCTTCTCTTTTCTTCCAAGTGAATAAGGAAAGGTTGATGAAAAATTACATGTACTGACTATTTTCCTTTTTGTGACGTGGACTCAACTGAATACCAGTGTCTGTGAATAAACGTCAACACGTATCTGTGGCTACAGTGAGGCTGAACTTCACTTTTGTTGATAGGGATGCCTTCCCCACCATTTCTGTTTTCTCTTATTTCCTACTGAAAAAACTTCATGGGTGCATAAGTAGATGGTAACATGCAAATCACCCCCATGTAACAGACTATAGAATATGACAGCGATTGCTTCTTCTGGAAGAGGTTGAAAGGAAATGTAAAATCACTTCATAACCATTTAAAAAAGAAATTGTCATTTCTGATAAAGAATGTAAGACAACCTGCTCTTTCCCATCTCTTTCTCCCAGATAGCAGCTCCTGGAAGAATTATATTATATAGAAGACTCTTTAAAATACTCATGTTTTTCTGCCACATAACTCTTTCAAGAGGAAACTGAATTAATCATAACACTCTCTCATGCTACTAAAACCAGCAAGACAAATGATTTGTTGTGTGGCAATGCTATTGAAACAGATGAACGTTTGGGAAGCTAACTTATTTCTCTTCTGTTTTTGAAATACAGGTGCTGGCAACAGGGCTAAGTGGCCTCTATTCATCTTTACCTACCAAGTTGGAAGAAAAAGGAGAAGAGTGGCACTGCCTGCTGAAAGATGACTGGCTCTTGTCACCTGCCCTTGTGCAATTCATGAATTCTCTTGAATTTTGCAATGCTGTGATACAGGTAATGGAGCAAAGTTGGAATAGTGGTTTTATAAACTCTGCAGTTGTTTTGTTTTGTTTTTTGGTGGAATTAGAGAATTTATTTTCATTTATTAGTTATGCCAATAGACATTATTTATAAAGGGAAGGCTTTGTGCTGCTTGTCCCAATTATAAGGATAAATTAATATGTTTTTGGTTTTCAGATGACAGATGTTGATGAATTCAGCATAGCTGATCAGACTCTTGATATTTTATAACATAATTGGGAACATCTTCTGTATTTTCAAAAAACAAACAAAAAAATCACCCGAAGTATTACTGCGTTGTAATGCCACTGTTGACATGGAAAATAAATTGAATGCTTTAAATATGGGGGGGAAATAGTCTTTATCCATTTAAGCATTAAAAAACCACTTTCTCTATATTTAAACTCTCCCAATAGTATATAAAAGAAAATAGTCTGTTTCACCTTGCAGTGCGCACTGCATTAAGAAAAATGAAGCCAAACACCTTCTTAAGCAGAATTTAGCTATCTTTCTAGGAATATAATGTCATTGTAGATTGGCCTGCGTAGAATCCACTCTCTGTTCCTAATGATTATTTCTTGATTAGTTTTTATTTTTTCTCCCTCTTTTTCTGTCTTTAATACCTTACTTGGTATTGCTTTTAAGTATATAGAGCCTTATAGAGCCCTAATCCAGAATTTTATTTAAATACATTGTAACTTCTATGCAAACGGTGGACATTTGTGTTACTTGAAGAAATGGCTGAGTAGGATTGAAAATTGAGTCACATTTACTTTTAAGTAAAAGACACATTTTAGCGAGATGCTTGCAAAGTATAATTGCTGCTGGGAAAGTAATCCCTCCTGTTTCTCTCTGTGGGCCTACCGTGTCAGAGATGGATGTTGGTGCTCAGCAGTTGAGGTTGAACCTTCCTGCTAAGGTTCTGTTGTATTTTGTTGCCATGGTGGGTGGTGTGTTTATTCTTATCCCGATAGCTAGAGAGTACTTGTATTAATTTACTATTGAAACACAGGTAAACAGCTGTCCTGTTTTTTCTTGTTGTAAAAGGACAAATTAATGATGGCAAATCCACCTTCAAGTGACCCTGACAAGGTTGCAAGAATTAAATTTAGAATCTCAAGTCTTTCCTTGATGCATGGGCATGCAGTCTTTACTGTTGGTCTGTTCATCTTTGTCAACCTGCAGGGAAATCGAGAAGTCCTTTTCTCTAACTTTGGCAGGCTTACTCTGAGTAAACACCCTTGCTGTATTTTCCTGGAAGAACAAAGTATCTTTAAGAATTCACATCATAGAAAATGTTTGAGTGATGGATAAATGACATGTGTTTTTTAAATGGGAAAATGTTTTGGTAATGGACAGAAGTATTATCTTCCTTGTCTTGTTTGCAGTCTCACTGCTATTGTTCTCTGTCTTTCTCTTCCATCTCTCTTCCCCTTAGGTGGCGCATCCCTTGATACGTAACCAGCTGGTGAATTACATTTACAATGGATTTTTAGTGCCAGTAATGGCTCCTGCACTCCATAAGGTCAGTGGTGAATGCAAGCACAACCTGAATTAACGACAGGCAAAAGCACTGTGGATAGTGCCTGTGTAAAGACACTATCGAATACACTATCAGTAGTGAGTTCTATATAAATGAGTGAATGCTTTCTTTCCATACTGTTTGTTTACATTATACCAGGTATTAAGCAAGAAGTGGATAAAAAGCATTTAAGATTCTCTGAAGAAATGAAATAAAATATTTTTGTTGTGCTAAGTTGACATGCCATCAAAATCGATGAACTTTTAGACAGAACTTCATGATGGCAGACATATTTCCAGGAGAATTTTTTCCCAAAAGGGAAATGTTCAGTTAGGAAAAAATCCTCCTGGAACTCAAGAAGTTTTACACTAATTATATCTAAGATGGTAGTGGTTTTTGTGCTTCCTTCTTGCAGTTGGTAAAAGTATTATCATCAAGTTCAGAAGAAATGGATTTGATGTCAGTTTTCTAATGTATTACAATGCAGTTTATATTGCTTAGAAGAAAAAAACACTCTCCTGACTTTTAGGGATTATACTTCACAAAATATTCCACTCATACTGGTGAGTGTGTGTGTGAGTGTGTTAGGTAGGAAATTGGAGCATGTCATTAGCAGTCGTCTTTCTCCTGAAAAAAGAGAATATCTTGTTTGAGGAGAGAAAGCAGGAGTTGCTGAGAATAAAAATCAAGACTTTTTTGGCTATCCACCAGAAGTTGCTACGAGAAGAGAACTTAGTTTTTAAATGTCTACTAATTTTTCCTAAGCCTGCCAAGCAGAAAGCAGTACACTTGTTCAATTTATCAGAGGCCAGTGGAATGCCTTTCTAGTGTAGGACTCGTCTTGGCAGTAAGTAATAAGCAGTATAGAACTGTTGATAATTCAGCAGACTTCATCCATTTGGGAACTTGAAAAGGACTGACATAAAATCTGGCTGCAATCCAGATCAAATTTGTAGTTGGCCATGGAGACAATTCACCCCCCTATCTGGAAGTGGTTTTTTAATTTATTTTTGCATCTTGACTTTATTCTGTACCAGCTCTGCAGAGTACAGTCAGAAGTGAAAAGGTTGCCACTTTTAGGTTACGGATTGCAAGTAAGATGTCAGAATGCAGCCATGGGATTCTGGATTTAGTGAGTATTGTCTTTGCCTCTAAAGCACTCAAGACAAATTTTAGGGTTTTCGATTACTGCAGCTGAATGCTATCCTTCTTGGTCAGTAAAAATGCTAACTTCCTATTAGTTTAGGTATTCTCCTTCTGATGCTATTTATGACCTTTAAAATACACTGTGCAGATTAGGGTTGGGTTTGTTTTTTTTTTTTTTTCATGTGATGGAAATTTTGTTGAACTTCATTTATATATTCTGAAATTGGGTGAAGTCATACTTCCCTTGAAAGTGGAAGTGCTGGCTGCTAACATATGTAAGCTTCAGTCCTAGGTCTTTCCTAAGCCATTACATTCTGTTGGTTCTTTTTATCTTTCAGTAATGAACTTTTTCTTTATTGGCATAAAGTTTGACCTTCTTATCATAAAAAATTAACTATTTTATGTACTTAAATGCTGAACGCTTTCAATGAAGAAGATGGATTGCACCATCTAGTGGATTTGATACAAGGATCTCATGTCTGCGTGACCAAAAACCCATAGGAAAGGGATATGTGTGAAGAGAGGCACCTTTGATCTCTTCAGTCTTCTTTTAATTTAAGACAAAATATTTTACATATTTACTTTTGGGACAGATCTCTCTGGACCAAGACAGGTGCTGTTATAGCTCTTTCATATACTTTAGTCATTCGTAGGTGCCATTCAAAAAGTCCGTGCTGAGCTGAGGAGTAAGCAAGTGTCATTCGTTTGGGGACTGTGGTCTTACAATTAACCTTCTGGTTTTACTCTTTTAGTAGAAAATCTCATGGGCCAAAATGAGAGAGAGGCCAGGTGCATCATGGTGTTTTTAAAAACAGAAATACTTTCATTAAACACAAGAATGAAAATGCATCTTGATTTGATTTAATTATTTTTGACTTGATAAAATTTGTTTGGTATCCTAGAATATGGTATCCCTGAGTTGTTCCAACTCATTCTGGCTTATGAGTTCAAATACAGCGAATATAGGAACGTGGCATAAAAGCCTTATTTGGAAGACAGATCTGTGGAAGGTTAAAGAGGGATTAAGAAGATGGAGAATTATTGGTGCTTCTTCCTGTTCATGTAAATCTTATTTGTAGAATTTAATTGGTATGAAACAGCTGCTTCTGATTGATAACTCTCAGTGATAAGCATGGAAGGAAGGAAGGAAAGGAGTCCAGACTTCATTTGGCATGCAAGCCCTAACATCCCACACCCAATCTGTGTTAGAGCCTGTGGTTCTAACTTAAAGCAGAATGCAGAAAGGACATGAGCTTTTGGCTCTGGCATACTACTTCAGACTTGTTCTCTATGTATTCTAATTTTCCTTCAAGATGTACATTTTTTGAGTACAACGTGTCCCTGCAACAAGATGCACTTGAATTTGTTCTTTTTGAAAAGGCATCTCCCAGTTAGAAATGTATACATTTAGGAAAGACATCTTCAATGTTTTGTGTTCTCATTGTGATGAAATTTGATTTCTGTTTAAAACATCAGCAACATGAACAAATCACACTAATGTGACTTCCTGCCTGATTCGCAAATCTAATTTAGGTGATTCAAGTACATAAAATAACCCAAGCAGGCATACAAGCAGCATTTGATAAATTGTGTAGCAAATAGCCTCATTATCTTTTAATCCCTCTTGGAGCAATAGCAACATCAGTTTGCCTCTGTAACTGATGTAGTGAGGTAAGAGGAGTATGTCTGGTACGAGGACAGTTACTCTGTTTTGGATTGAAGCAGAGACTCCTCTGTTGTACTGGCCAGACTCTCATTCTTCTCTCTTTACAGAACCGCAGCGTGGCGGAGACTGGCAGGCACCTCTGGAGGTCGTCCTGTCTAACCTTCTTGCTCTAACAGGATCAGCCAGAGCAGGTTGCTCAGGGAAGCGTGCTTTCTGTTTGCTTGCTTCTGGTTGTTTTTTGTTGTTGTTTTTTTAATGTCAAATTGGAATTTCCTGGATTTCATTTATTGTCATATGGCTTTTTGTTCTTTCAGTATGCGTCACTGAGAAAAGTTCTGCTCACTTATTTTTGCTCCTCCCGTCTTTTATTTGCTCAATATCCTGTTGAGCTTTCTGTTCTCCCAGCTGAGCAATCCCAGGTCTCTTAGGATCCCCTTGTATGATAGATGCTCCCATACGATAATCACCTTTGTCACCTTCAGCTTGTCTGTGCATTTCTTGTCCTGGTTATACCACCACGCTAGATGCATCTTACCAGTGCTGGGTAGAGAGGAAGGATGCCCTCCAGCCAACCTTTTAGGAATGCTTCTCCTGATGCAGCCTAGAGGGCTGTCATTCACCTTTGCTGCAAAAATGCATTATTTACTCATAGCCAGTTTTTTGTCCACAAGGACTTGCACATTCTTTCCTGAAAAGCTGCTTTCCAGCCAGTCGGTTTCCAGTGTACAGTTGTCTTAGAATTATTCCTCCCCAGGTACAGGGGTCTGCATTTGTATTACTGAACTTCTGTTTGCCTGCTTCTTCAGGCTGTCAGGGTTCTTCTGGCAGCACAGCCATCCATCAACATCTCTGCCTCCTTTTGTAACATCTACAAACTTACACAAGGATACACTTCATCTCATCATGGGAGTCATTACTGATGGTACTAAACTGCACTGGCCTCAGTGTAGACTACTCATCACCAGCCTTCCACTGGGTTTTGCACTGCAGACAGATTGCAATCCTTTGAGCCAAGCAGTACAGTCCACCCACTGTCTATCTACCCATCATTTCATCTGTGAGGATGTTGTATAAGGGATGGTGTCAGAAGCCTTTTCAGAAGCCTTTTAAGACAGACTTCAACTGCTCTGCATTTATCCATCAGGCAGATCATCTCACTGTAGAAGGTCTGATTTCCACTTTGTAAATTTGTGCTGACTGTTTCCAATCACCTTCTTGTCCTTCATGTGTTTTGAAATGGCCTTCTCCCAGCCTGAAGCAATGGGCAATTGAACAATATTTTCATTGAAAGTATCATGGCTTTTCAAAATTTCAGTATGCAGTTCAAGGCTTTGAGATTTGTGTACTCATGGTCATGAGATGTCTGTAACATTTATGGAGTAAAGCAGTTAGCTCTGCTCATTGTCTGCAACTTCTTAAGTGCTACAGATTGTCCTCATACATAGTTGCTATGCACGTGGTTCACTACATGATAGAAGCAGTATGAGAATGTTGAGGATAGTGATGCATTTCTATGAGTAAGTCAGGGGTGGGGAGACAACTGTCAACACCACCACCATACACCTCTGACATTGAAGGCCAACATAATAAAAGAGGAAGCGTTACTTTCAGAGCAACCTAGTGTGATTTTAGGGCTTAGTTCAGCTTGAGAATGAAATAATAGCTAGTTCTTGGGGTTTTGTTGGTTTTTTTTTCTTCAGGTTAAGGAAGTTTCAAATTTATTTGACTAGGTACCTAGCTTAAAATAGTCTATTTTTCACAGCGAACTCTCCAAAGGTTATTTAGGTAGCAGATCAACTGCAGTGTGCTTGGAAAAAAAGCCAACAAACATCATGTAAGTTTATGACTCCATAATTTCATTTCTCAGAGAGGTGTCCTGTATATAGCATGTTTTTGTAGCCTAAGTTCATACCTGTTCTGTACTTGTCTGTTGCCACTTCATGTGTATTATCCTAGCCACCCCCATAATGAGCATTTCACAATTATGTTCATACCTTAGAAGCTGCACTTTCCAGAGTGGGCAGACAGCTTACATTGGTGTTGTGAAAGTAGGAATATGCATTAGTTGGCTACAGTGAATAGCCCTGCCTTATCCTTCGTTTGGTGTTTATTGTACTTCATACCAGGGAGTTACCTCCCTTGCTGCTGTCATCTGACCCTTGAGAAATGGAAGCAAGTGATTCAGTTACCTTGTGGGGTCTGTGTGAGTGTTCATTGTGGAAGGTCACAAATTCTCTCTTTTTGTTCAGCCAAAAAGAATGAAATAGTTTGCCTGAAAAAGTGCAGAGATAAAGGCAAGGTTAATTTGATAGTTTTCATTTTGTAGTAACAGCCCATGATTTTGATTTTTGCTCAAACCATCTTTTATTCTTTTTAATGTGTGAAATTGAAGAAAAGTAAGACTTTCTGGTAGAATTGGCTCATAATTTAAAACTGGTGCTTTTTGACAGAATGTCAGTTACAACTCGAAATTATGCTATTCTGCACGTTCCTCCCCAGGTTTTGGTACTTAGAGAATATCTGTGAGAAGGTGTAATTCTGCTCATGAACTCAGCCATGCCATTAAATTTCTGTGATTTATCTCACTGACTGTTTCTCACTTTGTTTCCAAAGCTAACTTTTTTGGAGCTCTGTCTTGGGCCAAACTTTGCAATGGTCCAAGCAAATCAATATTATTTACTCTTCAGTTAAACTCTAGTTGAAATCCCAGCATGAATCCAGAATAAAGCCATTGAAGTCTAAGAAATATTGAAGGTTTTGTCAGAGGCCTTGTTGCCTTATTTTATTCTCTGTGTATTTGGTAGTAGAAAATGCTTATTCATATTATTTTTTTAGGTAGTTGTGGTACTTTAGCAGAAATCTGATCAATTTATTCCTTTTTGGGAGCTCTAATAGATTGAAGTGTGTTGCCATCAATACCATAGATAATTAGCAGCCCCACTGTGGTGTATCTAGAGTAATGTGCTACGTTTGCTACGTGGGATTGGCTATGTATATCTTTTCCCTGTAAGCTCATAATGTCACATCCAGAGAATTTGGGTGGTGAAGAAATCCGTCCTGATCATCTCGAGTGTTTATGTAATTTGTGTAATTTCATTTTATTGAGGACAGTGCTAAAACTTTGTCAATGTGTATGATTAAAACAAAATTTTAATTTCTTAGCACTTAGCATCACGCTACATGGCATTTAATTGCTAACTACGACATAATTAATTCTGTACTTGGAAGGCTTGTTTTAATCTGAATAATGGAAAATTGTACCAGCTTTTTAGTGTGGAACATTGCTGTTGGCCAGGCGAACAGAAGCGCTTTGTGGAAGCGCTGGCACGGTCCTGTCAAATAAACTTGGTTAGACGGACCCCAGCTATTGTGCACAAACCCATCTACAGGACAACCTCTAACGTGGTATGCTACTGTGATAATTCAGTAATACTTGCTTGATGATTACACAGCCCAGCGGGGGGGAAATGACCTGTAAATTATACTGCACTGATCAGAAGTAACATCTTGATAAATATCCTGAAAGAATGTCAGTTTTCATTTGGAAATAATCCCATCTCTCACCTTACTGGACGGTGTTTGAACACATGCAGTAAAAAAAGGTTCGAGTCCAGTGTTGTTGGAAAACTCTTATTAGTGTTATGCTTGGGGGAAGCCCATCAGTAGCTAGAAAACTTCATCTTGCCCACTGCAAAGTGGACACGTGTTAAAGGTGCCCTTCACTTTGTACATCAAACAGTGCACTTGAGTTAGATTTTAACCTGATACAAACTGAAACTGCTTATAAACTTAAGCTGAAAGAAGTCAGAGAAGTTCTGGTTTCCTGGTTCCTTCTTACGTTCAAACTTCCTGTCCCTGCTCCCACCTGTCCCCCACGTTCCTTCTGCCAGGACAGACAGACATATGAGAAACCCATAGATTGAGGATAAAAGTCACCTGCATTTCCTTGATAGTTTTGTCCTGAATCAGTTCCCTGAGCCCATTTGCTGTGCAGTGAAGGATGATCACTTCTGCCTGTTAAAGCGGGGAACAAGTAGAAAATGAACAGAAAGTACAAAAGGATGGAGATGGTTTGTGTCTTTTTATATACATATATCTATATATACATGTATGTGAGGGAGATAAGTTTATTCAGGTTTAAACTGCTCATGGATCTCGAGGATAAGTTCTAATGAGAGCATTCATGGTCTCTTCATAGGCAATATTAAATACTCATAAGAAGGAAAGCGTGAAGGGAGAGGAGGAATCATGATAGCCATATTCTCACAGGAGGGCACAGAGCTGTAAATTAGAAAGTATATTGTGCAGATCCCAAGGGAGAAGAGCCAGTAATAAAGAATCAGTGCAATTGGTCTAACGCAGTGAGTGTCATATATTAAACTGAACTCGCTGTGACAGTAATTTCTGGCTCTCTGCTATCACTTGGCACTGTGACTTGTGAAAGCTGGATCTCTTTACAGTGTTCTGTCTTACCATCTAATCAGTCATCAAAAGAGGCAAGAAAAGATTTGCTAAAAATTATTACATAATTAGGGAAGGGTAATAGAATGCTAAAAGAGGCCTTCTGTTTTCACTTATCTCTGATCAAATATCTGCCTGGCTGCAAAGATTCTTGTGTAGTTCATCTGCAAAAATATCTTCAACAACTGGTTGTTGTAAAGAAAAACATGTGGATGAGGTTTCTAAATGGTATCTGAAGACATATGCTTTGTATGTGTATTTTTTTTTCAATTCCAGCAAGTTTTCATCAGTACGCTATAGATAATAAATAGGAATGGTAGAATTCTTGTCTGAGTAATGTAACGGACATAGATTTTTATCATTTTTCATTTTTAAATTTCCAAGAGGAGAGAGATATCTGCTCTTTGCCATTCCCAAGCAATTTCAGTGGAAGAGAGCCAAGGTATGCTGGTGGTGGGTTTTAATTTTAGCGATTGTGACGGGGAAGGATTTTAATAATGCTGAAATATCTTTTCAGAAGCATACCTGGAAATTCAGTTACTTAACAAAGGATTTTATGTCTTGATTTTCTTCATCTCCTTCTGTAGTGGTATTTTTCTTTATACTCAAATTATCGGAGATGAAGAATTTTCAGATTAAATGTCACACTTAGGGAGATGTTGAAGTTGTTTCTTGTCCTTTCAACAACGTCCACATAAATTCAATGTGAGGGCTAGCTGGGGCAAATTGCACTGAAATCAATGTTTACAATACAATACAAGTTTTTTGTAAGCCGCCTCGGGTTTTGTTTGTAGCAGACATTCTTGATGTGTAATGTTTTGTTCTCTGGGAACATTTGTTCTTTTGTTGTTTACCTAAGCACCGATTTGGATTTATTAGAAAGGATTTTCCTACTTTCTGTAAAGCTGTCTCACAAGAATTATTGTAAGGAGAGACAACAGCAGGGGTAGTCTGAAGGAAGCTTAATACCCTGGGTTTGGTGTTTTAGAAAACAGATCTTCAATAATAACTGCACAAATTGGACAAGCCTTGCTTTCAACCCTGAATGTATTATGTATAATGTGATCTGTAGAACAGGTTTACAGAGTTAAAAGGGTCTTCGCCAAGGCTGGTTTTTGCTTAATGTGACTGATTTCTCCCAAGTCATTCCTCAGTTAATTGCAAAGCAAAGTGAGGTCTCGAGAGGCTTGCTCAAGGCAGGTAATGTACACCATTGAGTAAAATGCAAACTGGCCTCATGTAGCTAAAATTAGACTTCTTGAACACTTCTCTGGGTGCCTCAAGTAGTCAGAAATTTTGCTTACTGTCAGGAGTAGCACAAAGGAGAAGCATGCCAAAATGTAAGATGAGGAAAATATGATAGGACTGTAAAAGTGCATTTCTGCTTGCATCTTAATTGATCCAGAGCTGTATACTTGGTTTCAAATGCCAAAACGTGCTATATTCTGCTTGATTTGCTCTTGTGAGGAAGCAGAAGGACCAGCTCTGGGCTCATTCTTACAGACAACTGCATGAAGGTGCACTGAGAGGGCTCTTAAGAGCATGGTAGTGTTAATGGTACTGGCACAACCTTGGCTTGCCTGCTTTGTGTGAGATGTGGCATGCTGCAGAATAGAACGTGTCAAATTTTGAAAGGGTGTTTTGAATAAGGCAATGCATTTTCATTGGAAAATCCAATAATCCATAAGATTCTTATGAAGCCATTTTAAATCTTGCAAAAACTGTCTCTCCCCTCTGTCTCAGAAAATAGATGGGCAGATTCGACAACATCTTTCCCAAGAAGAATAAAACATGAAGTGTGATGTAGCACTCTGCACAGAAAGCCTCAATTCAAACAGTTGAGACTTACCAAAGCTTTAAGTTAGTTTTTTGTGAGCCATCTGAGCTTCTTCAGTAACTACTTGGTGCTTTTAGCTCTATTTAGTGGTGTCAGTGAGATGCTGGCTACAATAAACAAGATTTCTTTTTCACTTAGTCCCTGAGCAGCGAGGAGCACTGAGCACGCTCTCAGAAGTGAAGGGTTCTCTTCTATAGGAGTCTCTCACTGGCTTTCTTCTGCCCTTTGTGGTTCATTCATGATACAGCTCTGAAAAGCTTGTGGCTTTCTCTTGGTGATAGCAGCGTAGCGCGTATTGCCCGAAGAGCATTGATTTCAGAAAAAGGTCACTGCCCTTGTGAATCTGCTGGCTTTTTTGCCTTCATTTACAGTTTCAGATTTTCTCCGTACACAGAGGGCCGTTCCTCCGCTGTCAGCAAACATCTGTGAAACCCACAGGCCAAATACGTGCTTCATTTTCACTGAAGAGAATGGAGGAGGAGTGACAGAGACATAACAATGTATTACTTCTGTCTGGCCTTTTCTTGGCAGAGGTTTTAAACTGTTCACTGAACTCTATGCTATCATTATGATGTCATATGATGGATTTCTCGGGTTTGCTTTTTACAGTTTGCTGCTTTAAAAAAAAAAAAAAAAAAAAGCCAATGCCAGTTCTCAGGACAGCAGGCAGCAGCTCCAATCAGAAAGCTGCTCTTTTCTTACCCCACAAGTTCCTATGCCTTTTGACTGTTGAAAAAAATCAATCTCCACTCCAGCCAGAAACCATTTTCTCTGTTGCACAACCCCGATGCAGTTCCTGAGTATGTCTGATGCTGGTTTAGAAGTGGCAGGGAATGTGTGTGTGTGTGCACAAGAGGAAAGCATTTCATCATAATACTTAAAATAATGCAGGCATTGAACCAGAGCTGTAGCCACAACATTAATTCAGGTAATTTGTGAAGTTGAGGTGCTTGACCTAGCAACTTTTTTTTTTTTTACCCCACTTCATGTTTGTAGGGGGAGGAGGAAAAGGAATTAATACATGAACAGTATTCCATTTTAAAGTAGAAGTTAATAGATATTTTTTCATGAAAGACCTATATTCAAGACAGGGGTCCACTACTTGTTGTTAAGGAGCTTAGTGTTAAAGTATCAAAAACTGAATTGATGGCTGTAACTTCAGCACTCCCTGGAAGCTGCTCTCCTTGTCAGTGCCCCTCTCCATAAAGTCTGCGGGCTGCATGCAGCATTCCTATGTTCTGTGTAACTGGCCAGAAGCAGCTTGTGATCTTAAAAGCTTTAAAGGGAACATTTGCTGCATGACATTACTGTGAGTGTAGCTAACGTGCAGCACAACGGATCAGGGATTTTATTATTTACAGGGTGTTACGTAAGTGCTGCCCTTCTGAGTACTTTCTAAATCCTCTTAGTTCTTAAGTGTCAGCTTTGATTTTTTTTTTTTTTTTTTAATAAAGTCAGTCCTTTCATTTATCTGGCTAAGTTTGATAAACAAAAGATGTTTAATACTTCCTTTCATATAGACAGATTCTTGTATTTAAGGGTTTATCTTTGTACACTTAAGCTTATTAGGCTCCTGGGTAACTATTTTTAAGAAGCTGACTTTGCAACAGCAGTGCGTGGTACAGAGGCAGCCTTTGGAATTTACTGTGCCTTGCCAGTGCATACTGTCAATAGCTAAGCTCCAAAAGGATTGCTTGAATCAGAATAATACAGGTTAACCAACTGGTATGGATAGCTGAATTGTATTCTGATAAACAAATAGGCAATAGCAGAGGCTTTTGTCTTTGGTTTATATGCGTGTGGACATAGATCATGTACCTTTTTGTACAATCAATGAATATACAGATGATATAATATATTTGAGAGCTTGGCTTATGTAATTATTATACTAGAGCAGAAAAGGACACTCACCCTCTCCTGGGGTCACGTAGGAAGCTCTGGTGAACTGGATCTCCTGGAGAGATCCTTCCCCACTGGCAGTCAGCTCTTAAATGGCTCTAGGAGAGGTGCAGCCTGGCTCCACCCCTTCCAGCAGCACAGGTGAGTTGCCTTCACCTGTGCTCCCAGGGCTGACTCATTGCTGGTCTCAGGTGATCAATCAGAGGTTCAGGCCATGATTCAGTAGTTCCCATACACTTTTAAAACCTGAGATGAGGGAAAATAAAAAGAAGGAAAATAGGGCTAAAATTCTGGGTAGATATACTTTTCATATCTATTCTTTTAAAACTCTGGAACTATGAGTTTGTACTGTGCTTTGATTTTGCTCTGTTGTCATTTATTTTTAATATTGTGGTAGATGTATGTATTCACAACATCTGAGAACACTTCTAAGGAATGAGAAGTGTGAGTTAGAACTGCTGACGTGGCAGAAAAGTGGTGGGGAACTTCTGGAAGGATTTAGTTCTTTGTATTTCAACATCTGTGAGATTTGGGCTGTTGGTTAGAGGTTTGTGTTTCTTTTTTTTTTTTTTTCTGGGAAAGCATGACAGGTAGGAAATGGGCTCAAAATGTTTGTGAACAAGTAAGAAGCATACTACTTGTAAAAAGTAAAGATCTGAATGGTTTTGCGGCAGTACGATCCGTGGGAAGCTTTGGGTAGGTGCTAGGTATCGTGCTGCTGCAAGGGACAGACGGACGTTTTGTGTGTGCAGTATGTTCCCATTGACCGTATTTTACCCTGTAGGTGACGGTGGAAGAAGTGACGGCCACTACTGCGTATCTGGATCTCTTTCTGCGTAGCGTTTCAGAGCCAGCCCTCCTTAAGATTTTTCTCCGTTTTATTCTGCTGCACCGACATGAGAACGTGCACATCCTAGATACACTTACTAGTCGCATCAACACGCCGTTCCGGGTAAGATAAGCAGGAAACAAGTTCAGTTTTTCACGTGGGTTTAGGTAAACTAATTAAACAGGAAAGGGAAGTTCCTGTTTATTTAGTTAGTTTTCTCCCCCATCCTAATGTGTACCTTTTGATTTTTAATACTTTGTTTGCGTTCTGGTGTCTAGCTGTAGCCGTGCTAAGAAGTTGATAAATGTGTGAAGTGGTTTTACATGTACAGGAAATGGGGTAAAGGTAGATGAGGGCCTTTGGAGGTCTAAATTCTGTCTGAGAAGTAAAAGTGAACTTGGAAGCATTTATATTCTGGGTAATGGTGAATTAGTGCTGCCAAGACAACGCATCCTTAGGACTTCAGAACGTAACCAAGGCTAGTAACGCTTTCTATCTTTGCAGTTCTGCCAAGCAATAGGTATTTGCAAATGATCTTTGTAGGAGACAGTGGGAGCTCCACAAGGATGTCTTCAAATTGCTTAAGTTGAGAACTGCAGTATTGCCAGTGGAGTTCTCAGGAACCAAGTGTGCATTGCTCTAGCATGTTTGCTTAACTGTTATACTGCCAGCTTTCTTGTTTCATTAAAGCAAGGCACTTTCTTGCTCAAGTGATCAGATTGCTCCTTCCTTTTGTTTCTTCACTCCTCTGTGCAGTAAGGTTTATCTCAAATTTGCAGTGAGCCCCTTCTCAGTATAGGCGTAATGTACCACAGTGACTGGGAGTTAGCTGAGGTAACAGTTTGATCTTCTGGCACAGCAAGTGAACACTTGTTGCACTGGATGACCCTTTGGAGCTTTGTTTGGCTGGCAGCCTTGGCTGAATCTTGCACGATGCACGGCTTCGTGGATAAAATATGGTATAATGTTTTGGGGCATGAGAAGCCAGAACACCAGCATGTGCATTGAATTTGTGCATTAGAGACATTGTCTGAAATTTGTTTTGAAATGTGGGTGCGATGCAAATATGGATATATGCTGCTGTTACTGCATCCCTAAGATGGATTAAATCTGAAAACTGAAACAGCTTCTGTCGACAAAAATGCAAATGCTGTTGTCTCTGATAATCATTAATTACTGTTCCATAGGCAAACAAGATTGGAATTGTAAAGAATCCTTCTGCTGAGTAACTCAGGATCCCAGCCAAAACGGTTCTGTGATACTAAATGAGTTTGCCGCAGTATAGCTTGGCCAAGTGCAGAAGCCAGAACTGCAGCCTTCTGTTTGGTTTTTGTAGCACAGAAACTGTATATGTTATCTCTCGAAAATACTTCTTAATAATTCACCCAGGATTAAGCTTACATACAGACAGGTGGTCAAAAAGCACTTGTGAAGTCCTGCACTTTTTATCTCCTGGTAGTACGTGGAATCGTTTCTTCTTACGAGGCAAAAAAATTGACTAGCTTTTCTTCTTTGAAAGATTCTTGATTTCTCATTTCTCTTTGCAACCATATTGCAAATGGTTTCCTATAAGCTGCAATTTTTTAAATGCTGGAAAATTTAAGGAATTAGCAGGTTTTGAACATTCACACTGTGAAGAACAGTTAGACTTGGTTCTCAGTTTCACAGAGGAAATAAGAATTCCCATTTTACCCCCACGAAAGTACAGCTTTTGTGTAAGGGTCTCACTTCTTCATCAAGCTTGCTCTGCTGCTCTTCAACTTCTACCTCTATATTTCCATTAAGAACTGGAGTTCAGCTTTTTTCTTTCTTTCTTTACTGCTCTTTTACTTTCTCTTGCTATTTTTGTAGGCATGAGATCTTGGACTAGCAAGGACTTTCCTGTTGATTTCTGTTACGAGCTCTGGACAATGCTGGCAGGGCAATGGATTTGAGCTCTGCTTTGCCTCACAGCAGGCCAGCTCATAAGCTTTCTCTGGCCGTCTTCTTTCAGTGCCTGGCTGTGCTTTATTACCTACATGCGTGTTCACATCCCAGCTTGCTTTTTGAGTGCGGGGCTTATTCGCTCTCTTGTTTTTCTCAGGGTGTTAGTTTAATGACCAAACTAGAAAAGGTGATCAAAGAAACTTTTGCTTTTCAGAGGCTATCAAGTAGGGCTTATTTAAAATTTAGCATTTAATTGTTCCACAGAGATGGAAACCAAGTAAGGGAAAATATACATATGCTAATATATAGTCTAAAAGAAGTCTGTGCATTCCTCTGGTCGTGCTCAGTGTGGACAGCTGATCATCCTGTAGAGGAGCTGAGTCACTGGGCTGAAAAAGAGAATGGAAATAGCGAAACAAAGTGCCTTTTAAGTTGACTTTCTTGTGAAATCATGGGCTGGAGAGGAACAGCAACGTGCTGTTGCAGTTAGTACAGAGAATTTTAACAGCGGGAGGAAGAAGAGTGACTGCAGAGGAGAGGAGGAAATTCCACAGTTGGAAAGAGAAGTCATGCCTGGGAATGATGTGAGATTTAATCCTGAATGAATTACAAAGGACATTCACTGACTGAAAAGAGGCAGAGAAATATCTATAGCTTTTTCTTTATCTTTATCTGGTTCCTTTTTAGCTACTGAAAAGTGCAGTTTACTTCATGTACTAATTATTTGAGTTTACATTACTGGTACAATGAGAGGCAAGAATAAAACACCAGCTTGAAACTCTAGGAAGTCAATTTATGCTAAAAAATTCTCACAAGAGTCAGCCTAGCCCTGAATCTAAGCCAGCTGCAAGATGCTATTTCCAGGAAAGAGCAGCACGGGAGTAAATGCCCAAGGAAAAACGCATTAAAAGGCAGTGAAATAATGATTCTGTGGTTCGTGAAAATCGATGAGAGCTTAGAGATCATTCTTCTACTGTACTGGACACATTTCTACTAGCAAGCTTATAGAAATACACTGTGTGATAGTTTTGAAAGATTTGTGTCTTAAGTAGAGACCAGAAAGCCTGTGAATCCAAGTTTTTAGTCTGTTGTAAGACTAGTGTGGAAGTGGGGTGCCTGTCACAGAATGAATATGATTTTTGCCTCTGCTGCGTGTGACTGCTGAAGTACTTGCTGATGAGTATATTAGTCAGACCTTTCCCAAAGAAGACACACATGCAATTCCAGTGAGCAGTACTGTTTTTCTTTCTTTTCTTCTGGTCTCACAGAGAGGATCTTCATGCCACAGCTCCCAGCTGTCCAGGTGGCCTCTAATGTGGGGATGGAGAGTGTTCCATGTGGAGTAGATTCTGATAAAAATGACTTGTGTAGTCCTGATCTACTTCAGTAAATTCAGCAATAGGTATAAAGGCACTGAGGTATAGGAGCATTCAGCTTCTTAATGTGCACAACACTCATCATTCTTAGTATGTTAAGCAGGAACTTTTAAGTAGTTTTGAATTTTTTTTTTTGTTTTCAGAAAAACCTTTTGTTGATTCAAATTCTGAGTTAGCAGTAAAACCTAATACTTACCTTAGAAGTTACAGGGTTCCCTTCATGCTGGGTTAAACTAATAAATTTAGAAAAAAAAAAAGTAATTGAAAAGACTGGAAAATTATTGCTTTCACGTTCTAGACAAGTTAATGCAAATACCTTGTAGAGAATACTTTAAGTAATTTTTTTTTTTGAAGGAAAATTTGGAATCATACATGACTAAAATGTCAAATGGTATGTGTGTAGCTGTTGGCAACAAAATCCTGTAGGGATGCTGGCAAATTGAAGTAGCATACTAACGGTTTCTTGAAGTGGTATGTTCTGGTGGAGTCATTCTGTTAGACAGAATGCAAGAAAGATTGGAAAGGTACTATATCCAGATTGAACTCTGATGACATTTATCATTTTTCAGCTCTGTGTGGTCTCCTTAGCATTGTTCAGAACGCTCATTGGCTTGCACTGTGAAGATGTGATGTTGCAGCTAGTTTTAAGGTAAAGCCCAAACTCCTTTTTCAACTTTGTCCTAATTCTGGGACACAGAGACTCAGACGATAGGCATAGAGCTAGATGGATGTTCTCCAAGAGAGCAGAAATTCAAGGAGCTACAGAGATAAGAATATTTATGATTCTGGCAAAAGCATGCTAGGCCTGTAGGAGCGTGATTTATGTTCTGTGATCTTCAGGAATAAGAGATTTCTTCTTGTGATTTATTTCTATAAACATGAGAGAAGAAAAGCTGAGAATGTATTTATCACCCTCAAACTGCTTATTTCCTGCTTTTAAACATATAATTTTTCTCTCCAGCATGTTTTCTTTAGTTGATCATATATG